TTTGTTGGGTTAAGGGTGAGTCGCTCGGTGTCTATGCCTTTTCATTTATTTATTTTGGATATTTGTATAGTTTTTCAATTGACTTAAGTTCGTGTCGCCATTTGTTTTGATAGGATCCTCCTCGAAAAGAGGTTCATCAAGCAATTGAAGACTGCAAAGCTGCTGGTATTCGTGTCATGGTTATCACAGGGGACAACCAGAATACAGCTGAAGCTATATGTCGAGAAATAGGCGTATTTGGAAAACATGAAGCTATAAATTCCAGAAGTTTAACTGGAAAAGAGTTCATGGCAATGAATCGGGAGGGTCAAAAACTTCATTTAAGACAAGATGGAGGACTTCTTTTCTCAAGGGCTGAACCAAGACATAAACAAGAGATAGTGAGATTGCTCAAGGAAGACGGTGAAGTTGTTGCAATGACCGGTGATGGAGTCAATGATGCGCCTGCCTTGAAGCTGGCCGATATCGGGATTGCGATGGGCATTGCTGGTACCGAGGTACTTACTTCAAAATAAGTTGTTGGATGTGTTATACATTCATGTTTACAATTATGAAGTACCACTGATCATTTTTAAACGGGTTTGCGTCTGCGCTCGAATGGAATTTATTTTTCCAGGTTGCAAAGGAAGCCTCCGACATGGTTCTTGCAGATGACAATTTTAGTACAATAGTTGCAGCAGTTGGTGAAGGCAGGTCCATTTACGACAATATGAAGGCTTTTATCAGGTTTTTCCTCTACTTGAGCAACCATTCATCCATTTTCGTTGATAATATTCTGGTCATTGGCCATAGCTGTTGGTCATTTATGTTACTGCCATCAAATATCAATATCTCACGATTTCAGGAATGTTTAAACGGTTTCAACTGATTGTAGGTACATGATTTCCTCAAATATTGGTGAAGTTGCATCTATATTTTTGACAGCAGCACTGGGTATCCCCGAGGGGATGATCCCTGTTCAGCTTCTCTGGGTTAATCTCGTTACAGACGGACCCCCGGCAACTGCGTTGGGATTTAATCCACCTGATAACGATATAATGAAGAAACCGCCAAGAAAGAGCGACGACTCGTTGATCACAGCCTGGATTTTGTTCCGCTATTTGGTATTTTTTTGCACCCCTTCGCTTCCTTTAGCTAACTATATAACTTCCTAATGAGATGAAAATCTAATTTCCTAGCTTCATTTGATGCTCAGGTGATTGGACTTTACGTAGGGGTAGCAACTGTAGGAGTATTTATTATTTGGTATACACATGCATCATTCTTAGGCATCGACCTGTCTGGAGATGGCCACAGTCTGGTCTCTTACTCTCAGCTCGCTAACTGGGGTCAGTGCTCATCTTGGGACGGGTTTTCGGTGTCGCCCTTCACAGCTGGGGATGAAGTCTTCAGCTTTGATTCGGATCCATGCGATTACTTCCGCTCAGGCAAGATCAAAGCATCAACCCTGTCTCTCTCCGTCTTGGTAGCCATAGAGATGTTTAATTCCCTTAATGCCCTCTCCGAGGATGGAAGCTTGTTGACAATGCCCCCTTGGGTTAACCCTTGGCTCCTCCTCGCCATGTCTGTTTCGTTCGGCTTGCATTTCTTGATTCTGTACGTGCCATTCCTCGCCAAGATCTTTGGCATTGTCCCGCTGTCGTTGAACGAATGGCTCTTGGTTCTGGCGGTGGCATTGCCCGTGATCATAATCGACGAGATTCTGAAATTTGTGGGAAGGCTTACAAGTGGGTTGAGGACTTCTCGCCCGAGGAGATCATCGAAGCAGAAATCGGAGTAAGAGTGGAGAGTAGAGTTGTTGTTGATGGATTTCTGATAAAGTTAAATGGAAATGGGTGAGTCTAGCATTTCTTTAACTCAACAATATTTTTGAAGCTGGCAGAGTATATTACTGTGGAAACAGTATAATACTTGGAACATCTTTTAGTTCTCTAATTTTAGTGAATATTATTGAAGGATATGGTTCTTTGTTGCTTAATTCAAGTCAACTTCATTCTTTTACTATATCAAATGGTATCAGAGTTAGACACGCAGTGGTGTCAGCAAGAAAGTTGGTATTAGAGTTAAACACGGAGTGGTGTCAGCAAGAAAGTTGGTATTAGAGTTAGACACGGAGTGGTGTCAACAAGAAAGTTGGTATTAGAGTCAGACACTGAGTGTGTGTCAGCAAGAAAGTTAGACTTTAAAGTGTGAAAGCCTCTTAGTAGACACGTTTTAGAAACTTTGAGGGGAAACCCAAAAGGGAAAGACCAAGACCAAATAAGACAATATTTATTAGCGGTAGACTACTGTTGCATGATCACTCAAGTTTAAGAAGTAATACTTTTAGTATTTCAAATTTAAATTATATTAAGGACAACAACATAATCTAATTGAAGGCAAATACGAGGAAGAGACAGAGACAACCAACGATGCAGGACAATGTCAATGCATCGAGAGACGATCTATAGTCTGATGCGTGATTGTGGAGGGAGATCGTCAATCATAGGCCAAGCAAAATATATCAACCATGAAAATGAAAGACAATTGATTGGACAATCAACAAGAGAAAAAATAAAGGTTGTCTCGATAGATCAAGTCGAGAAAGTGACACGCAAACTGATAGCTACAATCGTTTTTATGAGAGTAGTCAAGCCGAGCTCAAGTTCTATAGCCGTCAAGATGGTGGGTCGATCTTTCTTTCTTTTTTTTTTTTTTGGACTGTCACTGTACAAATAGTTGTGAATATCATCAGTTTGGCCCCAAGGTTGAGCCTTAGCATACAATTTGTTTACGTGGAACGTCGCTATTTTACTTCATATCCCTCTCCAAGTGGGTTGAATTGTCGATCAACTTCCCAAAAGCAAACAAATTTGAACCAAACCATGCCACTTTTATATCGTCGGAAGGCTACCTTCATTACCCACATACTTGCACTAACATAAACAACTCTAGCTTGCTAACCCATGAGACTGCACTCTCGAACCATGTGTGAGAATTTCCGTTTAAATGGAAAATAAGGAAGACAGCGAGAAAATATTTCTCTACGTTAGCTAAACGGGGTTGAGAATAAGAATATACTTAACATCCTCAATCTTGCTCTGTCTCACTCGATTCTTATTATAAAAACTGTGAGATCCCACACTGGTTGAAGAAAATAATTAAACATATTTTATAAGGGTGTGAAAAATTAAAGTACACTGTGTTGTCATATTGAAATTTGAGCTTTTAGTTTTTATATTCAACATTACGATATTCATACCCTGATCTATAAAAAAATAAATGAAAAATTTTACGGGAATTAAAATTGAAAGAAGGAAGGAAGCAATTCCCACGTAAAGATATTTTATAGTTTACCGACTATTTACCTCTCGTAATAAATTTTTAGGTTAAAAAATGACGTACATACAAAATTCACAACATTTCTCCAATCTAAAATACAATTTTGATATTTATAATCTCGTTTTAAATGCATTCAAAAAGTTAATTTTAGAGCACGGACGTTCGAGATATCTATACCCTGATCTACAGTAACTCTCGTTCTAGCTCGACATTTAGAGTACAGAAGCTCAAGATATCTAAAAGATTTTCGTTTCATTAAACTATTAAATACACAATTGAAAGTAAAAGGTTCGAGAAAGAAGTGAATCGAGTATAGATATTATGGTGTTGAGTTAGGCAATGAAAATGAAAGGGCACTTATATTTCAAAGTGTTGAAGATATGTTCATCACCACTTTGCCCTTTCCTGTTTGTTTCTCAACTATAAGGACTTTCTTTTCATTCATATCTTTTTTATATGCTTTTTTTTTTCTTTTTCCTTTTTAAAAATTTATTTTCCACTAATTATATATAATAATTACAAATTAAATTTATTTAATTTACTTATTTTGCAAATCATACTCTTATTTTTAAAAAGTCGTGTAAATATCCCGATACTTTACCAAATTTGCAAAGTTTACCATTTTTGTCCGTTCATTTTCAGAAAAATAATATATGTGGTAACATATAATAGGTAATATAATCATAATGAAGTTTTTTTTACATCCGATCATTAAGAATCGCTTCTAAAATAAGTAAGGTAACGAGAAAAATATTCTCAATAAATATTTTAAAATCTCGTCTCGTTTTATATTAAAATATTCATAAAATAGTTAAAAAGAAAAAAAAAAAAAAGTCTAGAACCTAGCACTAGACTCTAATCTATCTTTGTCCCACATGCACGTGTCGTGTAGACACAAAACCATCTTAAAAAAAACGTATTATGTGTGAGTATAAGAGTACTCAGTAAATAGTAGAGATGTCCATTTAATCTGCGGGGCAGAAGTCCCGTGGGACCCACCCGAAATGGGGTAGAGATTCCCCGCTTAGACGAGGAATGAGGAGTGAGTGGGGAGATATTTCTCCCCTTTAGATAAATGGGGTTAGGGACGAGAATTATATGTTTGTCCCCGTCCCTGCCCAATTCTCTAATCTAAATTCTTGTTCCAAGTTTATATAAGAGGGAAATGAATATTCAAATTTCAATAAATTTCATGTCTTCGGACTAATTTTATATTTTGTTTATTATTAGAGGTGAAATGATTTGATCGACAAATAATAATTTATAAAAAAGGTGATTCGATTTAAATTTCTAATAACATAACTGAATTAACCCCAATTAGCAATGAAAAGTATACATTAAAATGTTTTTTTTTTTAACGACTACTTTTATAAGAATAATAATAGAGAAAAATTCTTCGAGAATTCTGTTACCACTTCGTGGATGTTTCTAGTACATAGCCCCACTTGTCGTGGACATCTCTAAGCTCACTAGCTCCTGTACCTTTTTCAACCGACCAATTCGACCAAATAATATATGTTTAATCGAGAGATTACATCATTTAAAAAAAAATAAAAAAAACTTCCAAACATTTAAAAATTAGAACAAATATTTCGATAGTTTTAAGTTCACATCACATTTAAATAATATAAGCAATCGAGTTGCTGAAATTATACTACTCAATGTTACAAATATGTACGTTCGTACGACAATTCATTCAACCGTGGAATTTAATTTACAAAGTCGGATAAGGTATTCCTATCATCTTAACGGTCGATTGCTCGATTTCTTTTCTTCTGTTTAATTGTCGAACCTAAAGAGAGAAAAAGTTTTGTTTTTATGGTAGAATCGAGAGGGTATAAATGTAAATAGTAAAAATCAAGGAATAAAATTAACCGAGTAGGAATCAAGAAAGGTGATCCATGAGCCATCGTCTTGGCCGACTTCCTCCGCCGTGGCATTGTCGTAGCAGCTCCATGTCTCTGTCGGCGAGCTGGTCGAGTTACTATTCTCAACTTCTTCATTTCTCGCAAACCTCCCTCTTATTCGCCTTCTACTATCCGCCAATGTCTTCCTGCATTCATACTACCAAACTCCCGAGCATTCAATCAGTTAACAACTGATCATTTTTCAACCCATAATTGAACTAACTAGAGATAATGTAATATAATATAATAAAAAAACAAAACACGAAAATTAACGGCCTTATAATATAACAGCTTTCAGCCCACCGCCAGTAGATATTGTCTGTTTTATCCTGTTACATATCGCTATCAACTCACGATTTTAAAACACGTCTATTATGGAGAGGTTTTCATACCCTTATAAGGCCCTCTCCGACCAATGTGAGATCTCACATATAAGATACAGATTAGATTATTTTAAAGTTCATTAACGACACAAACATGTTCTCGAGAGATTGAAATTATAATTAAATAAAAAAAATTGTAAAGTATTTTAGTTTTTTAAACAACTTTATTAAAAAAGAAAAAAAAAAGAAAAATAAAGAACACTGGTGGTAGCTACATATGAATAGTAATCCTATCCACAATCATTTTTAACTCCACCAATATTTTACAATTATTTAAATGAATTTTCTCGTGGGTTCTTCTTTTTCTAAATTATGTTCATGTACAAAATATTTTTTTTTTCTTTTTGATAATTAATTAAAAAAGATAAATACCTTAATTTTCTTATTAAAATTCCTCTGATTTCTCTTGGTTTTATACTTCTCGATTCTTTGTCTTTTTTCTTCGGGGCTATACCGACATGCTTTGGTACTCATTCCTTCTATTATCAAACTGCTTTCACTCGAGCTTGCCATTTCTGTTCTTCCCTGTCATCTCGTGGGTTAGGTTGGGTTGAGTTGAATTGAAATATTTTTTAGATTTGACTTATTAAAGAATGAACCTAATCCATATGGATTATATTTGCTAATAAATATGAGGCATATAACTCACCTGCAAATCATTGAAGCTGTAAGCCCTTCTCACGGAACTTTCTAAGTCAAACAACGTTGAAATCTGAACGTTTGGTCTGTGTCTCATACTCCGTTGAGGTTTTGATGTCGGAGACCCGTAGCTACTACAAGGTCCACTACTACAACTATAACTGAGCTCTGAGGGTAAGAGCCCCGGTGACTCTAGCATCGGGACCAGGTCGCTCGCGAGGAGCGAGGAGAAGGAGGAGGAGTGGGAAGATATGAAATGAGGGAAGGATGCAAGAAGTGGTGGCGACATGGCGAGGTCGGGGGCAGGGAGGTGGCAAAGAGAGGCTTCGAGGGTGGCGGAGGAGAAGGCGTGCATGGTGAGGTGGCGGAGGAGGAGGACGGAGAGAGGAGAGTTTGATTTGTGGAATGGAAGGAAGGGATGGAGATAGAAGGGGTTAAGTAGGATTGGGAGAGAGAAAGAGAGATGACGTGGATGCTGACGTAATCAGTTGGAGAGAGCGTTGACCATTTCTTCTTCGAGAATCCAATAATATAACAATCTCCCTTCCCAATTCCTAACTAAAGTTGGTTTCATTCACAATCTTTTTGACTTCAAAAAATATATATATATATATATATATATGAATATAACTTAAAAAGGTTCTTCCTTCCCAATTCTTTTTGGCATCCAATTTGTTCAAAACGGTCCAACCACATCGACTCAACGTCGTGCACGAATAAAATCTAACACGACCGTTAAGGAATAACGTCGTTTAAAGAAGTCATTACTAGTAAAGTTTATTTTCAATTTCTTCCTTTTGGATCTGTCTTAATTTTTATTATAATCTTCTCTACTTGTGTCAAAGAGAAAATACTTTATTGTTCTTTGTTGTTTTAGCAAGATATCGTCACGGATCCACTATCAAAGAGTGGTTGAGAAACGATTGAAAGGAAGATGAAAAATCATATAAAGAAAAAAAGAAAGAAAGAGAAAGAAACTAGGTTCAAAATTAGCTAAGATCCAAGTCTTAGGTTTGAAAATCGAACCACAACCTTGGAAGCGTAATCACTCGAGCCTTAGATTTGGAACCAAACTAGCATCACCAGCCCACGAACTAGCCCAGTATGTGCTTCAGTCTGCTCCTACAGCATCGACTCAAACACGTGTGCCCTCAGTCGACCACATAAGGGCCTAGACGAGTGTCATGATGCGACTGAGGAGAACGGTGCATCATCTAACATACTATACAAAGTGAGCATTGAAGAGAAGACGAGACATAAGTAAGTGAAAGGCAATGAGTAGACAAGATTGTAAGAGATAGACTTGTTAAAGAGTCAAGTAGGGACTTGGACCTTAACCTCGAAAGTCAGAGATTTGGAGGGAATTTGGGAATGCAGTTCTAGAGTCAAGTCTGTCCATATGAAATATGAATGCTCTCCAATGCTCCACGATACCATATGACTGTTTGCCAAAATGACAGTTTACCGGATGAGTATTAAAAATGACTTAAAATATACTATAGTTGGAGCCATGGTGTCATCTCTTCACCACCCTTGGGCCCTATGGCCTAAGCGAAATACCTTGTGGCATATGCGTGTGTCATAGTGAAGGCGAGTATTGTGAGACAAGTGGCTCGAGCGACTTCCTTTGAAATGGGTCTTTCAAGAACAGTATCGGACGCCACGGGTGTACCAGAATTGCACCTTAGCCTGAGTGTCAAAAGTTGGATTTTGCACCTGTTATTTGGTAAGGTATTCGTAAATAACATGACATGGGCACGGAGGACCAATGCCTCGATTGAACTCGGATGGATGGATGTTCGGAATGTCCTGAGATTATGAACGACACGTGGACCCATTCTCGATGGCATGACATATGGACCATGTTAATTGGGAACCAAGATGAGATGATGGGATGTGACGTTGCACACGAGAGATCTTGATCTCGAGTAAAGGCAAGGTCGAGTCGTATCACTTGGCCTAATGTAGAGGCAAGTCAGTTGTGTCGTAGATGACTGAACATGCATGTGTAGGTGGCGTGTATAGTCGAACAAGTTTAGATTCCGCACAAGTAATGTTTAATGAGCAAAGGCAAATCTCACCTAATGTCAGGTGAAGCCATAAAACCAAGGCAAAAAATAAAAATGAGTCTTGGGTTCTCCTTAAGGCTGGTCGTGAGTGTGTCAAGATCATGACGTTATACAGTTGAAAAAGTACAATCGTGACACCTGACATACGCTATAACGCCTCATGTCCAGGATTTGGATCATGATTCGAAATCTGGATTCGATATTTGATGGCCTCGACATTTTCTTACGACATGATCACGTTACCTACTTCTCACTTCTTAAGTGTGAAAACTATTCCCACATACCAACACGATTCCTTCCAACATGCTTTGCTCGGACTCACATGCATCCCAGAAAAAATTTTAAGAGATCATCCAATATAGAATTGCTCCAAGTAAAACACTTAATCATGAAGTTCTTATGATTGAGCCACCGAAAAAGAAAGTGCACCTTGTTAGAATAGACAGTGACTTCATTTTCTTTAAGCCTTTCTTAATCATCTTATCTCCCGAACCTCTTTTATTCAAATGTAATCTCGGTTCATTTATGTATTCCTACTTTACTCGGGTCTCACATACATACACTCCCTCCCGTCGTGACTTGCACCTAGCCACCTCCCTCGTGCTCAACTCGATGTCTCCAAATAGCTTTTCATTGGTTCGACTAGGCTTAAACGACTTTTCACTTTAATTCTTGCCATTTTAAATATTCAATTTTTTATCTTAATTTAAATATTCCAAAAAAATGATCTAAATTAAATTGATAAATTACTCGAGATAATTAGACCGTTGTGTTATCATGTGCTTCTATATGCCTAAGATTGGTTAAATTGTTTTTAGAAACGAAATAATTTTTATACAACTAGGGGTACGAGTGTTCAAAAGACTCGGTAACCTAAAAAATTGAATCGACCCAACCCATTTGATACCGTTTGGGTTAGATTATCAATTTCATAATTATTATTTATGGTTTGAAAACAAATAAATATTTTACCTATTACCATTTTACTTTTATTACAAGAAAATTGAATAATGACTTGAGGAACCCGACCCAGCCCGACTCAATATTTTATAATTGAGTTCGATTCATTATTTAATAAAACTATTCGGGTTGGAAAAAATATATATTACAAACAATTGAGTTGAGTCTAAAAAATATCTTAATCCGACTGAACCCCAACTCATGAACACAAATAACTCTGACCTTTTCCTCGAGTTGGGTGTAGGCACCAATCAAGTATTTTTGGGACAAGATACCATTTTCTTTTGTTCGTGGAGATAATGTACTTTTTGGTTATAGGATAGGAGTTTCTTTTTTTAGGTCATGTTTATGAGCCTAAATAATTGATCTCGATCATTTTAAAATCAGATACCACACTAATAACATTTTTACAATACTCGATCATATTTACGATGTCTAGACACCAACATAATCATCTGAAGGTTGATCCTATTCATCTAGTTGGCCATTTTTGTTTTACCATCTTTTTGACAAGTTAGAAACATTCATTGAAACGTTGTAAAAAGTCTATGATAGCGTTCTGACTTATGTTAGTCTTGCACTTAAAAAAAAAAGCTTTATACACATAGCGAAAGTGTGCATGACCTACTTTAAAATGAAATTCGAGAATTAATAAATAACATTTATAAATTATAAAGAAGAATTTTTTTAAAAAAAAAAAAAATTCTAGAAAGTGGTTCTTGAAGTGATATAGGTGATTTTGATGGGCCTACTTAGTGAGTTGGGGAAAAATGCTGTTTGAAGGTCCCCTCCCAATCTCTTTGCACCTCATTGCCAAATTGCATACAATTGGTATCAATTCATTTTAAACCCTATATTCAAATGTATATTCAAATGGATAATCATCATGATTTGATATTTCCTCACTACCACATGTTATCATTTTATTACTAAATATCATTCAGTACTAATCTCTCATTTTATGTTATTCGAAAATACTTTCTGTGATTTAAACTCTTATCGTTACAGACGCGTACTCCAAAATAAACTTTTGGAGAGAACCTTTAATTACAAGTTTAGTTCATTCATCATACTCAAAGTTGAAGTCACAACTAACATGGGAGCTCGAAAAAATAACGAGAATTGATGTCATAGTGGAAATACCATATGGTGATTATCATATAGAATAATAGGTTTGCAAACGTGTTGATTGACTATAAATGCAAAGATTATCTAAAAGTTCTATCATTCAAGGGCAAGGGAAAAACATGATCTCCTATTTCCCATGCATGATAGATTTTTGTCCTATACTATTTTAAAAAAATCATACTCGGAAGTAACACAAAAATACAGTTCTCCAAAATCATCATTTTTTACGAAAGTATAATGCAATATAAAGTGATTTCTTGCACCTAAGCACAGGTTTTACGGCCCTTAGAACAGGAGTCTCATACATAACATTCATTACTTAACTAAACAAAAGATTTCATTAACGTTTTCTTTACAAGTAGGTTTAAATGGTCGAATTCTTCACTAAAAAACACTTATCTTTTCAAAATTCTTCACCTAAAACTAAGACTTATGATTGAAGTATGTGAGGGTCACATGGGGATATGTATTAAACTAATAGGGAAGTGGTGGTGGTGGGGCAAATCCTGTCTTTGTTTTTGGCTATCAGAAGCAAAAGGGCGGTAAGATTTGACATCATCATAAGCATATTCATACTCATGTTCATGTTCATGGTAAGTGGAATAAAATATTAATTTAACAAGGGAACTACCCAGCAAAGCTAGCCCTATTACGAGGGAAAATCAATGAATTAATGGGAAAGGGCCCCCTCTCAAAGTTTTATGCCTAAAAAATAATAATTATCCTACTATTTCCACTCCTCATTGACCAAATCCTACGTGTTTATGTGGCTATTTTTGTATCACGAGTTTTGATTTCTAGAGGTTTGTAAATTCTTTAAACTCGAGTTATACTTGCTTTCCACTATAATCAACTATAATCGAATGAGAGTGGATAAGAAGTTTGTGTGATTGACGTGAGGAAAACAAAAAAAAAGCCTAATATAATCAATTGATGCACGTAATCAAGTTCGATACTCAACCCGTGCTTGATCTAACATCCTACTAAAAAAAACCCTCACATTTACCTTAAGATTCAATGTGCACTATTAAGACCACCAACATGAACAAGAGTGAAAAGTACGTATATATATGTTGGTGGAGATTTAATTACCTTTTTTATGGCAGCACAAGGGAGCCTCATGAAACGTTGGAAACTCCAATAGTGAAAGAACGGTAGCTATCAAAGTCAATAGAAAACGATGAAAGAAAGTGAAACTCTTCTAAATTTGGGTTAATGGGAACCTCACAAATTTTGACGTCGTTAAACTCAGCTCCGGTGTATTCTACAAACACATGCACCGACGCCATCACAATGTGCGACAGAAGCTGTAGAAGAAAAAGCACTTACAAAAGACACGAGTTAAGCTTTTGATTTTGTGTCTTAGACCAGCCATCAAACAAGAGCTAAGTTTATGATTTGATGTCTAATAAGCTTGCAAGAAAAAAGGCTCGAGAATGCTTAAAAATAATCATTTCACTACATGAGAGAAGAGAATATAGTTTAGTAAATCAATTAGGCATTGAAATTTGGTCACTTTTTTGCTAATCTAATCGTGAGAAGCAAAGGCATGCCATTTGAAGGTCCATACAACATGTAATAATAATGGCATATTGAACCAGGTATTCCAAATAATCTCACAATATCTTCCAAGTATTCATTATATGTTTATAATATTCAAAATTAACCTAGAACAGCGTATATTGCTTGAAATGATATCATCTTTTATGATAATATAAATCATTTTCATGATATAATATCAATATTTATATCACGGGCTTACCATAAAGTTCCCATTTTTACCAAATGAGAAAGTGAAAGTTCTAATGTAACTTCATTATGTGATACTATTTTGTTTTGCAGCATGTGCTTTGCCATCATGGCTTGCACCTTTGTTGTCCATAAATTCAGACCTTAGGGCACGTTCTTTTCATATCAGAGGACCTAATAAATTTCTCTGTCCTTGCAAAACAAATCATTGTTGATGTATAGAAAAAAAAAACATACCAATGTCAATATTTGCTTAATGACTCAAATACTCAAGTCAATGCCTAGGAAGAGTACACGGAAGAAACGATAGAAATTCAATTGTCAACGACAAGCTCCCGCACCTCCTATCATTAGAAATCTAAATTGATTGTTCAATAGTAGAAATTCAACATCCATCGTATTAACATACCTTGTAATAGAGATAAATGTGGGATCGGGATTCTTAACAATTACAATATTGACAAACCTTTAATGAAGGTAAAGGTAAAAATACATTTTGATGCTTTTGGAGTAAAAGGATTGCTCCAAATTTTACCCATATAAGATTTGAAGCTATGATGCTAGCAACTAAATGCTCTATTAATAAGCTTCTAAGAAACAATGGGTTTAATTAAGATTCTTGAATAAAATAAGAATATACAGTCATTTATCCCCCAAATATAGTGATACTAATGGCCATAGGACAATTATAAGTGGTAACAAAATTGGGAATGATTTTTCCAGTAGATGAATCCAATATCCAGAACATTTTCTATTTTCACAATGTAATAAATTATTGCCGACTCATCCTCAGAACAAGAGGAAAGTTTTAGATCAAGGACGATTACAATCAATAAGGTTATTTTTTGCTTAACGCTGCAATAATGATTGAAGTTCTCAGATGATAAAGAAGTGGAAGATGTACATGAAAATATAAAATGGCCTTATTATCAGAAGCAACCAAGTGATAAACATACTCATCATACCTTCAGGTTTTGATAACTACTTCTATGCCTTATAGGAAGGAAGCTTTGAGGTGATTATTGTTTGACCATGAAAGAACTTTTACAACTACACCCACCAACGGCACTTGGATTTGTACTCACCTGCACGTAATACAAGAATTCAACTTCTGCAATACTACTTATTCTATTATGATGGGATATCTAAGATTGCATAGGAAACTTTTGGGTAAAATGTGGCTTGTAGGGCGTATTACTGCTCAAGGGTACATCACTTTATTTTTTATAGATTATAGATGATGCTTAGAGGAAAAATGTGAGATCCCACATCAGTTGGGGAGAAGAACGAAACACCGAAGGGTGTGGAAACCTCTCCCTAGTATACGTGTTTTAAAAACCTCGAGGGGAAGCCTGAAAGGGAAAGCCCAAAGAGAACAATATCTATTAACGGTGGGCTTGAGTTGTTACAAATGGTATCAGAGCTAGACATATGTGCCATCGAGGAGGCTGAGCCCCGAAGGGGGGTGGACACGAGGCGGTTTGTTAGCAAGGACACTAGGCCCCAAAGGAGGTGGATTGGGGATCTCACATAGATTGGAGAAAGGAACGAGTGCTAGCGAGGACGCTGGGATCCGAAGAAAGGTGGATTGTGAGATCCTACATCGGTTGAGGATAAGAACGAAACACCCTTTATAAGGGTGTGGAACCTCTCCCTAGCAGACGCGTTTTAAAAGCCTTGAGGGAAAGCCCGAAAGGGAAAGCCCGAAAGGGAAAGCACAAAGAAGACAACATATGCTAGCAGTAGTTGTTATAGAAAATTCCTAGAAATTCTACGGTATCTACTTCCTTTGTTCACACAGTAAATTTTCATTTCTATGTTATACCCCTATAGTTCACATATTTTCAAAGGTAAAATGGAGAATGCCAACTCCAACAGTTAGAAGTCGAGGCGCATACATATGGGGAAGGAGAGATGAGAGTGGACATGGTGTGTCTTTTCAGGTAGGGATCTACCGTATGGAGTGTTTCCCAGCCCAGGGCTGAAGGATTCGCACCTCTCAGTATACTTCTCAACGTAAATAATACTCTGGACACCAAACAGTAATTATGAAGGGAAAGAGACTCTGTAAACGGCATGATGCAACAGTCAAATGATAGATATTCTAAGTATGACATTAATGGAAGTTGGTTTTTCAGTATTTCAATTTCTTTATCGTGACTCCATTGATTGAATAGATGTCATAGAACTATAATTTGCAATGGTCTACACACTGGTATGAAAATAATAAACAAATCTAAGAAAAAGTGGTGAGCCAGCAATAATGAGAGATAAGTTTCACTTACAACAAAAGCAGAACGAATCAGCTCCTCGACATAATCAATTGTTGCTCCTTTTACAAAATCGTATGAGATATTATCGACAACCAATCGAACTCCCTCCTTCTCATACACCCTGCAAATATGAAAAGAGAGAAGAGTAAAAAAAAAAAAAATAGGAAGTAAAATCAAACCAGTGACAGTCTTTAAGAGGATAATAATTGTTGAACCTATCATCAGGATTGGTTTTGTCATCCAAATCGAAAACATATTGAAATCCAGAACATCCCCCAGTTTCTACACTCAAGCGAAGCATCTTTTCTTCCTTTGGCGCTTGCAATTCTTTCATTCTCTACAAGGTATGTCAAGAGTAAGCAAAAAAGTAAATCAAAACCGTTCTATGAACCCCAATATAGGCTGAAGTGGTAACAAGAGAAATGCTCAAAATTCAAATGCTTTACTCAAATTTCAAGAATCCAAACAGCACAATAAGGGATTAGCATCCTAAACCCAGAAACTATAGTCCCAAATGGTGCACAATAAGAGAATAGTCCAAAATCAAGAACTAAAACTAGAGGATGACAGTGAAATGGATGAAGAATTCCTAAGTTATACCATATGGTACTTGTACAAAAAAGGATAACATTATATGTATAGAATACCCGAATGCAATTATCAGTCATTTGAATGGTATCAATAGGCCCAGATGAAGATGGAGATGGAGATGCCAACAAAGAAGATGCTTCTTGATGAGCTGAAACAGAAGAGCTAAGAAGCCTCTGATTCTCTCGAATACGTGCCACCAAGAATGGTGTTAACCGCTGAATTAGCAATCTAGGGGCCATGCCTTTGCTCTCTCCTCTCAAATTTTAATCCTTATCTGCCCAAAAATCCATGTGATAATGGCATTAATATGACTAGTGAGGAAATTGCTTATCATAATTTACTTGATATCACATAGATGTAACATTCAATATGATAAGAGGGAAAGATTAAAAAAAATTATACAAATGAAAGCCTTCGGGACTTGTATAAAATTACAGTTCCCCAAGAAACTTCCCAAATTCCTAACAGGTTACAGGATGATTCATCAATTAAGATTATAAAAATATGGGATAACCAAACCAACACTTAATATACAAGTTAATTAGAAGACGAGAAACCCACCCATGTACCACACAAATAACTACAATTGGTCATTCAAAATATGAACAAAAAATTAAACTTTCTATATTCAAAATATGAACATAAGATTATAACTTCTAAATTCAAACTACGAACAAAAGATAAAACTATCTATAATGAAAAGATTTTGGGTTCAATAGTTATTTAACATAATTTTGAGCAGCAAGTCATATATTCAAATCACTATAACATTAATTCCATTCAATTAATATTGTTAAGCACTCGTTGGCCCTCGAACTAATTTCCAAGCCCACAATGAAGAGGATTGTTAAGGAATATGAATAAAAGATTAAATTTTAGTGTAACCTATCAGCTTATACTTTTAGGTTCATTTGCCCTTGCCGTTATCTCATGGATACTGAAAAACAACCAGCCACCCAACAACTTTTTTTTTAGTACAACAAATGTTGCAGGTACGGAGAAATGAACCTTTGACCTCAAGAAAAGGGGTAGATGTGATATCAATTACCGTTGAGTTATACTCATATTAGCATCCATTCAGCAACATGTGGCAACACCTCAATCCTCCAATGTTATCAAAGCAACAATAAGGATTCAAGCAGGAGCCTTGTTCTCTAATAAGCACCTAAACTCTTGTCTATCTATCATAATCAATGAAAGTAACCTTTTTGAAGCTATCCTACAAGGTTGGAGGCTGAAAGTATACATCGTTGAGACTAAATCTTGCCCATCCAAGCTTATCACTAGCACTTACTAGGATAACTACAGATCAAGCTTTATGAGGACCACAATATGGCTCAATGGAAGTCATGTTATATTATAACAAACTATATCTAGAGGCATTTGAAAAGTCATAGGAGGACGGTTCGGTCGTACAAGGAAGTATACTCCAAAATGGTGGACCATCTTCCTAGGAGGAAACAATTGGGTAACTTAGACCAGTTCAAGCAGAGTGAAAGCTCAATAATTGTATTTCCAAAACATAATAATTGCAACATAGCTATGATGGTCGAAACAACATTGATAACAAACACTACATGCCGAAAATCACATAGTTCTTCCTTCCTAAGTTCTTATCAATAACCCTCGATTTTAATTATTGAGTTAACTTCTTCCAAAAATCATGCTTATGAACAGTTTTCTTCCTACGCATATCGAAATTAAACAATTTTTATCTCAAAACTATCATTCCTAAGTGAAGTTTGAAGTAAAAATAACCAATTAACTCAACAGAGTAACAAAAGAAATATCATATGAATTCACAATCAGGTCTTCTAAAACTATAGTATACACAATTTAATACCTGATACGAAAGGATGGCAGCCGACAAAAATCAGAGACGAGAAACAGAGCTGCGACGCGGCATGAGAGAGGAAGGAGAAGCGGCACCGAGCGAGAAGGAGGAGAAGGGGCGGCGCGTGAACGCTGCGATGGAACCTTGCGGAAGCTAACGGAGAGGACGATTGAGCAATGGGATTGGGCTTTGATTTTATTTCTTTATCATATTTCTTTTTATTTTGAGGAGGAAAAAAATATAGTTTTTTGCTTAATTATCTCTTAATTTTAATTTAAAAAATAATCTTAAAATGTCTATAAAATTATGTTTTATACAAAAAAAAAAAAAAAAAAAAAAATTTTATA